GAGAGAGAGAGAGAGAAAAAACGGAACGGCGACCGAAGACGTGGGGGCGAACCCGGTGAAGGTGGCGGAAGAAGAACGGCTGAGATGAGCGCAGGAAAATGTCACGTGAGGGGCAGTGCGTTCTGAGAGTAAGGTGAAGTGGGGGGTGGGGAGGTTTTCGGAGTTTCTTCGACAGGCTTCGGAGTCGTGGGGAGGGGTGTTTGAGTTCGGGAGGGTCTGACAGAAAACAAAGTAGGGAGTAAACAAGTTGGTGTGAGAGGGAGCCCTCGCCCCTTGCGAGATCTGAGGTGTGGTGTTACTCGGGGGAATGCGAGCTCTTGGGAGCTGTGTCTTTCGGGGAGAGGGTGACTGGGGGGCGAGGGCTCGGATAGAACGGTGAGAGCTGAAAAGGCGCACCGCAATGGAACCATCAGAGTATGCCCAAGGCATCTGGGAATCCTGAGATGTGAGCTTGCTTTTGCCTGTACTGTGTTTAAGTCGCAGGAAGCCCAGCGAGAGGGGGGGAGGACTCAATTCAAGGGTGGGGAACATCTCCCGAGCCAATCCGAGTACCATGCATGTTTTTTCCGCCCCTACCTTCCATTTCCTCCAAAGCGAGGGTTTACGACCAACACCGGTGAGAGTTCAGGTTTGGGTCAGGTTGTAGTGCTTTGAGGTTGGAGGTTGCAGTGACATAAGTGGGCCATTGACTGCAGGTCTCACGTCAGGTCGGGGGCCAGGGGACCACACTGCCGACGTAAGGGATAAAGTGCTGGGGTTAAGAGAGGGAACGGGAACCGGGGGGGGGGCTTAACAGTCGGCAGAGTACACCCGGGCACCGGACTCCAACCGCAACCACCCCGAAACAGGGGCGGGCAAAGATGCCCGGGGCGCCGACCCCAAGCCCCTAGAAAGAAAGAAAGAAAAGAGAGAAAACAAAACTGAGAAGCCGTCGAGGACTGGCGGCCTATCAGAGGGCCCACCGGGATCCTCGGCCATGAAGTTGCAGGGTTTGCATGTCCCTGGTGGAGTTGCTATGGTGACAATGAGACTGTGCTGGCAGGATTTGTTTCGATGCCGAGTGTGTCTTGGAAGCCTCTCAACCTTCTTCTTTTTTCGCACATAGCTAGAGTTTTTGTGTTTTTGCTGTTTCGAGAGAGAAGAATTCACTAGCCCAGTGAGGCAATCTGTACATCACAGAGAAGCTGATGCACAGGTCCTGTGCTTTCCTGCTGTTTTCACTTAGGCTAGGCCCAGCTAGCATCCAGAGCCTGTGCCTTGCACAAGCGCCTGAAACCGACTGCGCATGCCCCTGCAGTGCCTCAGTGCCTGTTTGCGTTTGTGTGTGTGTGAGTTGTTAAACAGCACGCGAGACACGATGTTCGACAAGCCCAAATCCAGTTGTCACTTTGCATCTCAAAAAACGGGGCATCTTGCAGCCACTGTCTCTGGCCGAGTCAAGGCCCAGTGCTGTACATAGATAAAAGGTGATAGAACTTGCACAAGTAACTTGTACATATGGTGCGCTGCAGTTACAAAGTTGCTGCAAGCCGGCAGTTGGGCCCGTAGTGGAGCCGCGAGCCGCGTGTCCTGAAAGTTGAATCTAGTGGCTTGAACTGACCAACTCCTGCCATAGTATTTTCAAAGATATTCAAAGATCCTTAATGTATATCATAAGTCTGGCGGGATGTCTGATTCGGCAGGCTGCATCAGGCAGCGCCTCGGAGAGGAGCCTGGACGCAAGTCCAAGAACGCTTGAATGGGTCCATAGGTCGGTAGAACCATAAGAGCCTCGGACTGGCAAGGGTGAGATGGATATTCTCCTTTTCTCTGTACACGCAAACCTGGGCATCAATTGAGCCAACTTTAACAACGATTCTTGCACATCTTCCTCATGCACACAATCATCTAGGTATTGATTTGATGCTATTTCCAATGTCAGGATCGGGGGCTATCTTGTCTCAGCGTAGCGAATCCTGGAAGTGATGCCGTGCTGACAGGAAAGGATGTTTCAGGGGGAGAGGTACTGGTGTGCGTATACACATGTACATGCACACTGCAGAATGCAAAGGTACCTGTGTATGTCCGTGCATCTAGTATGATCTCTGCGTGTGTACGTGCAACACGCATATGGTGACCCAGCATCTGCAAATTTGGTGACCCCACAGCTTGTGCTTGCATCATCTGAGTGCGCACGCAAAAATCGCACACAGTTGACTGGATAGGGTGGACTCGTGTAAACACACGCCACCTGCTGATAAACACGACCAGCAATGTAAATGTTAGGTTCAGGGTTGCCGGTCATCTAACACCAAACCGTAACAGCAAGACCATGGTTCAGTGTATTGTAACTTAGACGTGTTGTTTTTCTTGAGGGTTTCCTTGCTGTTTGTCTTTTGGTGGGAGGTTGGGTGTTTCCTAACACCTTCAGGCAAGGCAAGTCCCATGGTGCACCCTTCTGTATCCAGGAGCCAGGACAAGGCCTTCTCGCGGCGGAACCGAAAGGCTGCCCCGATGTTGCAGCCTCTCCCTAGTCTCCATGTCCCCAAGGCCAAGCTATTGAAATAATTTGCAGGGGATTGTATGACACAGGTTCGGAAATCTTTCTCACTGTCCTTGCCGCAACGTGAGTCCTTGCCCCTACTTTTGGAACAGGCGCCGATCGATGAGGCGGATGCAGCCCTACTTCGTGAGCTGATTCGTGGCGTCAGGGCCTCACACGTTTCATTACCAGTGGCTTCTCGTTGCCTGCACCATGTGCCTCTATGAGGGTCATCTCCACGTCATTCCACGTCCATACTAGCTTGACACACCATGGCAGCTATGGCATGGATGGACTTGACTGTACAGAAACATGAGAACTCAGGGAGCAGCCGGTGTGCTGTTGCAGAGGTGTTGAAGACTGAGGTGTACGAACGCTCCAACCCTTCGAAAATGCTGAAGAGCCTTGGCGCATCGGAAGTCTGTGGATGTCTGTGGTGGAAGTCCTAGTGGACCCTGCGAAAATTTGACCTGCCGCAGGCTTCCGTCCATTTTTCGAAAGTATGCCGGCCTTGAGGCAGAGGCAGGTCCACATCCGCTAAAGCATCGTGAAAAGTAGATGGTAAAAATAAGTATGCAAAAAAGTATGGATCAAGTTGAGAACAGCCGTGTTCGCCCGTGTTCACACGTGCAGGTCTACTGGAAAGCCTGCTGGCATCTGAGGAGGGCGAGATATGATGAGCGAGTGGGGCTTCTTACCCGCAATTTTCGGTAAGGTCGGAAGTACAACGAGGCCCCGGAGATAGATCTGAGTTTCTCGCCTGCAAGGCAATGCAAGTTATTGCAAACGGTCCCCACGAAGCCCAACAAAGCCGGAAGACGCTATGTCCTCGATGGCTCAGGCCGCTTTGGAATCATCGAGGAGGTTTCAGAGCTGCCCCAGGCAGGGCCATGGATCTCTACCAGATTTCTGTTACAATCGGCCAACCTGCTCATTCTAACTACGTGAGCTTGGGGCTATTCTCCGCGGTGGTGATAGGCCTAAAGATGACGAGACAGCACATCAGCTTACACAGGTCTCACTCAAACGGTTTCCAAAACATGCCAGAGGCTGTGACTTCCAAAAAGTTCGCTGGAAGCTCGGCGGTGGTCGACAAAAATCGTTCGTCAAGGGCCAGAATCAGAAAGGGCCCCGACCCAGGCAAAGAAGGCGAGCGCACCGCCGCCACGAAATGGGAAGGAGAAGCGACTTTGCGGCTACTATGTTCGAATTGCAATGTCACGTGTCGTGTCTTCGTCTACGTTGTTCAGTTGGCTTGTGATTGTGGCTCCAATATCCTGGCGTGCAAGTGCGCCGAGTAAGGCGACAGGAATTGCCTGCAGAAGGTCCGTCCCTCGTTGCAACCGCTGTTCAACCTCTTGGAACGCAGGCTTGAGGCTGATTCAGAAGGAGCTTAAGATGTGAGGATGGCGGGGGTTTGGTGACTGCAAAAAGGACCAAAGCCAGGAAGCGGCGGGGCCTGGCCATTCGAGGAGGCAAGCTGCGCAACGACAGGTGGCAGCTCTTTGTCCCTCCCTTTGATTCTGCTGGCAGGACTACGAGGGAAACTCTTCTGGGTCATCCGATGAGGACACGCAAACCAGGCAGTGAGAGCAAGTGTTCACACACATCCACATGCTCGTACACGACTCTTGCTTGCTTGGCCTCCGAGAACAGGCCGCCAGGCCTTTGGCAAGGTGCACCAGCTTGGGGTGTGCCAGCCTGGCCTGGATACGCGCGTACCTCAGTTGCTCCACATATCCCTGTCGCTCCCTCTACGCCCCATCCACAACGATCCGCTATCACTCCCTGCATAAAGTCCGGACTGCACCGGACCTCATTTCTGTCGACGCAAGGCCCCCGTGGCCAGCCCGGGCGCATGGGTGCCGCCTTCAGGCGATGTGGTTTGTGGAGTTGGCTTAGATGTAAATACATTTACCCACAACAATCTACAACACATTTTGGCGATCAGCCGACTGGAAGAGCAAGCGCTTCAGATTCAGATGCTTAGCCGCGATTCCAGAATATCCATAGGATGTGCAGCGTCCACCCGCCGAAGAGAACACGCTGTAGCTGCCTTGCCATACCCTTGGCCAGATAACCAAAGCAGGGGATTGCGTAAGCTGGTAAAGCTGCACAGTCAGAGATAGCTTGCTTGCTGTTCAGGCTCAATAGGGCCGACCTGGTGACCTGGTCGATTTTCTGTTGCTGGTGGTCACAAGCAAGCTAGCTGAGGGCATCTGTTGCCTAGAGTGTTCGGGATCGTTGCTGTTGTCAGATCAATGGTGAACTGATGTGCGCACGCGTAGAGCTTCCGGTTAAGCTTCCTCCAGCAGACAGAGGCTAGAACAAAAAGAACCAAGACCTGATTTAGCGTTCCCCGTTGAGGGCGCGATCTTGTTGCAGCAGATCCGAAGAGAACTAATGTACAACTCGAGGCTAAAGAGACAAGGACACAAACTCATGGTGTGGCTTGATGCTCTGGACACTTGCTGGTCGTATGCCCGCGGCACAGAAATGCATCTTTTTTTGCCTGCTGGTCTTAGTTGATGCTGACCAGGCTGACCCATTGTTGGGTGATTCTTGCGTTGTTGCATACGGAGAAGATATCGAGAAGTGGAGAACTCTGTCAGATGTACCTACTGTGTATTCTCCAAGGAGTCACAGACCTGATTGGTATTGGGAAGCCATCCTGGAACATCAGCGAAACGGCAGCAGATCCGATAGAGTTGCAAACCTGCAGCTGGATGACATAGGCTACGGGGATCCCTGGCTTGAGGTGCTGTTTGGGCAGGCGCAGGAAGGAATTCTGGGATGCTCTGTTCACGGCGGCAGGTATTGGGAAGCCATGGTGGACGTGGTGCAGCTTCGGGACTTGGTGCCATCCGCAAACCTGTCTAAATTTCTGGAGGGCGTGACTCGAATCACACCATCATCAGGCCTGAAAGCCGCAATTCTTGCAGGATTCGTCCCACCAAGCTTAAGAGTAGCCATGTGCACTCCGTACGACTGCACGGAAGACATGATCGTCAAGAGACTTTTTCCGGAATTTGAGGCAAGGAAGTTATTTGGAACAGAAGCTGGAAAGCTGCTAGAAGGAGCCATTCTTACAGATGCTGTTAAAATCGAGGAGGTGCTGAACTGGCCATCTTTGCAGTTGGACTTTGCCATTGCGGGCGTTGACAACTGTGGCACCACATCGTTGCACCGAAATCTGGACCAGCATCCAGAGATCGTTTTCCCAAGTCACAAGGAAGACTTCTTCTTCGTTACTGAAGTGGTCCATCGCCTTCTGCCGTTGAAGTCGCAGGTTGAGGATTTCAATCACCGAATGGAGCTGGCGAAACAAAAGAAGCTGCAGGAGATCACTGTTCCCCTTTGTTTTAGGAGTTGCGAAGGGGGGGGGGTGTTGTTGCCTTATGCTGCCTTATGCTGCCTTATGGTGCCTTAATCATCATATATCACTGTCGCCGTGCCGAGGAGACTGGGGTTCGGCCACGCCTTGCCGGCATTTGTTCCCCGGGTCTCTTCAGCTATGGCCTTGCAAGGATGAGTTTGGCACTGGTGAGGGCCAAGGTGATCATGACTGTTTGTGATCCACTTGGGCGCTTGGAGCGGCATTTCATGGAGTACAACTATTGCCATAATGGCAGCTTGGAGAGAGCGCAGGAACAGAGTCTGGCATCCGTTGCAAGTACGCGGGAAGGTTGCTTCCCAAGTGCTTCAGCCATCTGGGAAGCACGCGATACTGGCCAGATGCAGCGACTGAGAGATGCCACCACTACAGCACAGCATTTGCAGACGATGCAGGCTCTTTTCACTGGCCGCATGCTACCTTTGCACAAAGACTTCCTTCGTCAACCCGCAAAAACGTATTCGCTTGTTGCAGACTTTCTTGGGGCAAGGTATGCGTACCCTGAAGGTACCACATTTGGTCGTTTCAACGTTGTCGGCGGACATCGCACAGACCTGTGCAGAAATCGATCGCTAGTTCGTCGACTGGAGAGAATGCTGGAGCCAGAGTACCAGGCTCAGGTTTTGTTTCTCCGCCATGGTGGAAGCCCGGTGCCTGACAGCCTTAATCACCGTATTTCACGCTGCAAGTCTGCTGCTATGGCTGAGCTTCGCTGTCCCGGGCGCGAGAATGCTTGCTGACAACATGCTGAACTTCCAGCGCTTCCTGCTTGCATGGCACTCTGAAAGACTGGCAGCGACCATTTTTGTTGGCTTGTAACCACGACGAGAAAAGATTGAAGCAACGGATTGGCACAAGTACAGCCACCCGGCAAGCTGCAAAGACTTGTTGACCAGAGCTGGTGCGAAGTCGAGAGCAATGCCAAGTGCCGCGAAGAAATGAAGTCCAACAGTCCAACCAGACAGTCGGCGATGAAACACGCTTGGCATGAAGTGAATATCGATAGCTGACAGCTTCTGGCAGGCGAGCCTAAGTCGACGTGCTCTTGCAATGAAGAGGAATGAAAAAGGAATGGCTTCAATGGCCAAGCAGAGCCTTGACTCCTTGACCCATTGCCATCATGAGCATCTAATTTGATTGCAGAGCCAAATGTAATTTGTCATTCGGCATCGGTTCATGCCAGCTCCATGCCCCTCATTCACCTGTCACCAAACCTGAAGGCAGCCCGGGTGCCTGGGTGCCTCCACCTGCAAAGGCGCAACGGGCGTCAGTGCAATAGTGCTGTAGGCCAGGCACCAGCCAAGCTGGCAAATAGTCTATGCAGCGGAATTCTATACCATCAGCTATGCAGATTATGGGACACAATTTCTGGCATGATGATGTGTGAGACACCTCCCCCCCCTCATTGAGCAAGAGCTGACCGGCTCTGCTCTTGGCGGGCAAGCCTGAAGACTCACGACGTGCCTTAGCCAGCGCCGGAAGTTCTAGGTAGCCAGACATGCCGAAGACCAAGAGAAGTCAAATGAATTGCCTACATTGGGCAGAGGCCCTAACAACAAACATCAACGCTAGTGCTAACACTAGCCCACACAAGCACAAACAAAAAAACTTGCCATGATCATTCTCGCATTACGGGCATCGTTCGACTTGAAGCGTGGCTTAACGAAACAACGTTCCACGGCAAGGGGCCGCACTGGTCGCCCATCGACATGTGTGCTGAGCATGTGCTCGAGTGGGCCCGTTGCGCTCTGCCATTATGTCGCCTTGAGGATGCAGCTGGTCAAAGACAACTGTGCTATGAAGCCTTGCTTGCGAAGACAGTTGTTCCGAATTTTACCTTCAGGTGGCGGCACCTCCCCCGGAGGCTGAGTCTCTGGATCCAGACCTCAAGGAGCTAAGTTTGTGCTGCAAAACGTAGGTCAGGTACCAGATTCAATTGGGCATCACGTAGTCTAAGCAAGAGCCCAGCCTTGCTGATGGACGCCTGCGCAAGGACCTCCTTTATGGCTCCCGCACGCCTTACTTGGGCACCTCTGTCGCGCCCCTGTCGGGGCCTCCTCCAGGGCCTCCCTTAGGGCCTCCTCCAGGCCCTCCCCCACCAGGGACACCGGCACCCCCAATCTCTATGGCACCGCCTGGCGCTCCGTCCTCCGCTTCGCCCTTCGAGAGCCGGAAGCCACAGCCTGAGAAGTTGGAACTCATTTTGAACAGAGGGGGGTGCAACCATTCAACAGTGATGCTGTGATGCTTGGAAGCCCAGGGCGTCTCTTGCTAACTCGACGGGCTCTTGCAGCTGTGGAATGAGCGAAACGTATGCAGATTCATGGACAAGTGCAGCAACAGCTAGATAGTTCAGCTCCGAGGAGTCGACGTTGTAGGGGCCACTGATACTCGGCTTTTTTTGGCTAGACTTGAACTCATGAGTTCATCATGGCCCCGTCACGCCTGGGAGACACGACGAAGAATGACAGAGAGATCCGTGGACCTGCGGCGTAGATTTCGTAGGCGTCGTCCCATTCACAGGGGCAAGCGGTCCTTCGAGAAGCTTATTATTTTTCTCACTGTTCCACAGCCATGGAGTTGCTGTTTGGAGCTGCCGCCGCGGGCGGTGGTGGCCTCTTCTCCTACAATCGAGAAAATTACATGTTCGACAAGGACTCAGGGAAGGCAGAATCAGCAGAATCCAGTCCCATTGTCAAGCTATGTTCAGGAGCTGCTGATCAAGAGAGACTACCAAGCACAGAAGATGCGAGTGGAGCAGTCCAAGCTTTACCGCCTCTCGTCAACGCAGATGTCACGTTCAAGGAAGTTCCTGGACCGGCATGCATGCCAAATACGATCCGAACAATCCCCACTCTTGCTAGCCAGTTGGCAATGCACAACCAAGCTGGGCTTTGGGGAGGTAGCGGAAGCGGCAAGCCTTGTCGCTCAATGTGACATCCAAGGCGAAGATGTGCGTGATCTGGTCAACCTTACAGTTAGGAAGATGGAACTTGAGCTGCACTGAGTGTGGTGTCTCGGCAGGCTTCGATGTTTCCTTTCTCGCTTGTCTCGCATGTCGTGCGACCACTTGTTTGAGAATGGGTGCAGTGATTGGCAGTGACTTCTCAGGACAACTACTTGGTAGTGAGCACTCTTCAGCTTGGCTTCTGCATGACCCTTTATGTGGAAGGAAGGCCAGAGCCAGCCACGCACTCAGGCCATCTCAATCTGCGGGCAGTGCACATCACTGCACCAAGCGCTTTCACCAACTTTTAAGGATGTTGGGCCCACCTGGTTGATTCACCTCTTTGCAATGTGCAATGCTGGCGCATTCCTGCGCCTTGGGCAAGCCATGTAAACTGCAGCGTGCATTGTTTGTTGAAGGGAGCAACTGCCGGTTTGCCGGGCTAGATGCAGGAACAACTTGTAGTCAGAGGGTTTGGACAGGTACTATATATTGAGTATCTGGCTGGCAATGCACGCCTCGGTGGCAGCACATGCCTTCGGGGTTCGTTCTTGGCTCAGTGTGCCTACATGACTCTCCACACAACACATTCTATTCCTGCACAGGCGGCACTGTCGTATCGTGTCTAGCATCTTCTCATTGCTGTGGCCAGTTTCACAATTGCAGCATTCTACAAAGCTCTGGAGGCTTGCTCACCCAGTTTGTGCGGCTGCCAATACCAGACGATGCTTGGCCAGCACTACTTCTCCTGCTGCAATTGGGTGTGCGAGAATGGCATGAAATGCATTCGGGAGCCTGCCCAGGATGCAACTCTGGACAAGAGCCGTTTCCAAGCCCAGGAGTTCGAAGGCACAAAGGTAACCTGGCAAGATGCAATCCGCTGAGGTCAAGCCTTTGTCAAGAAAGCCAACTCCTTGCAGCTCTCGTTACAAGGTTCCTTCTAGTATTCTTGGGATTTCACATGCCAAATCCCCCCACCCCGTCTTGAAGTATCCGCGGGCCCTCTTCAAGTATTTTCCTCGCTCAGGCACGTGAGATGTTCCGCATTCCACTTCTTCGCCAACAGTTGAAGCGGCTGAACCACGCCATGGAGCAAGCGGACGAGGATGAAGCGGTTGCTCGGCTGACTTGAAAAATCCATTTCAAGAAGATTAGCAGCAGCCGAATCAGCGTCAGCAGCCGCATCCTTGTGCTGACGATTATTGACATATAGTGATGACAATCGGTTTTGCCATGTCCCGGCTTGCAACAAGGTGTCTGCCGGTGTGTCCGTGAGTGGGTCCGAAGAGGACCTGGACCCAAGCATAAGTCCTGTGGTGCCTCGCCATGCAGTTTCTAGACTCTGGACCCATTGCCGAAGTGCATCCCGTTAGGGTTCGAAGAAATCCACTCTGACTTGCCGATCCGAGATGCTGCTGGAGCACGTGCAGCTGTACCGGCGAACACAAGCAAACTGGCAATCCTACGATGCATATGCACGGGTGTGCATGGCAATGGGTACCAACCAGTACCTTGACACCCTGGCTATGGGATTGGCAAACTCAGGGAGGGATTGCGGGCTCGGGCAGTCTAGCGAGTCTAGTTTACATGCCGATTTCGCCCCACGTGATTTCGACACTGGCAACTTGCCCCGCTTGCCCCACAAATACCAGTCTGGACCGCAATTACCCCATTGTAAGGGAGACTTTAGTCAATGGGGGGAAGTGGGGGCAGCTGCACCAATCCTAAGTATGTCGCAACCTCTTGCCCCACGTACGTGTTTCGATTCAGCGTCGTTTCGAGATGGACCCCAGTTTAAAAATCCCAGTTTCCAACTGCAAATCACCTCTTTCATGGCAATACCTAGCTCCAGTGTCATTCTTGGCCGAGATGCTCGAGCCGAGATTGCCCTTGCGAGCGCAGCGGGCACAAAAAAGTTTCCAACCTCCGCTAGACGCGTTTAGGGTTTAGGGTTTAGTGTCTTCTGCAGAGGCCTAGTTGGGAAGAGGGGCCTGGATGCAAAAAGGGTCTAAGGATGTAGGGTTAGGGCTGGTTGTGGTAATGGTAGTGACGGCGGTCCCACTTGTGAAGAGGAATTGGTGCGGGCGGGCTTCGTCTTAAGGCAATAACAAATAACATATGTGCAGCAAACTTGTCCACTTAGCCCGGCAAGTGTCGGTGAGGGAGGAAAGAGGGGGAGTGTGAGGAAGTGGGGAGGAGGGGGGGCGGCGAGTAGCGTGGGACACGTTTCGTTGATTGTGCCTGTGATTGTTTGCGCGAGTCTGTCCGTGCGAGCCTTTGGTGTGAGACTAGTTTGAGAGTATGTGCGAGTGTGCGTGTCCGAGGCTGCTGCACACACTCAGCTCCTTGGCCAGAGTAAATCTCCAACCACTTTCTGGTCAGTTAGATGCTGCTTAATGTGCATCGCACGGGTAGAATGACATCTTCCCTGAAGTGCCAAGTGCCTGCCACCAGACTCGAGTTCTCACGAGTTTTCGGATGCTTGGTGGTTCAGACATTTGCGCCCACTTTGCTGCGCAGAGATCTGAGGCTACATGATGCTGGGGACACTTGTGGCCGTAAACGACGTCCCGTTGCCGGCACTCTCTTGCGTGGTGATCTTTACGGGCTGCGCATGGGTCTTGGCGAGGCCAACTTGTGACATTGCAGATCATTGCAGGCAGCTCAGGGAGGGCTCAGCAAAGTCCATTTGACACCAGCAGGCTTGACCTATACCTGTCGCGAAAGATCCTGGCAATCGCTGCCATCCTCCTGATTCTTCCGCCTACGCTTGTGACTGTGCAGCTGGGCAGTCAAAGCCACAGCTACTCTCGAAAGCTGATGCGAGACATGATGAGTCTGCCAGCGGCTTTTGTCGGCCAGCAAGCCTCGTAGTCATTGAAGCATTGAGTTGCAAGCTCAGGAGTTTTAGCTTGCATCGCGGGTGGACAAGTACACCCACTGCGTTCACGAGCTTTGGCTTCGCATCTTCCCAAAACCGTCTAACTGTTGCCACTGTTGTCTAACGTGCCCGCAATGGGGTTGCCCGTTGTCTAACTCTGACACGGAAAGAGCTGCAATGGGGTTGCCAGCCCTCGAGTTGAAAAGATTGGAAGCAGAGTCTCAGCGAGTGTTGCAGCTTTGAGTCGGGGAAGCGCAGCTCAGGATCGGCTGTTACCGCTTCATGGTTCCAGTGGCCTTTTTCTTCCATCTGCTGTGGATCGTCTTTACGGCGCTGCTCGCATTCTCAGGAGTCATCATTTTGAGGTAGCATGAGCCTGACACGACGAACGGATTTGAGGAAGATTGCAAGCCTTATCACCAAGGATCGTAGCACGGGCCGTGCCGTTTGGCAATGTGGAGCTTCCTACGAACTTCCGCATCTTGGCCAGGGATTCCTGGTTTGCCCATGGGCTCTCATGGGCCCATAGGCATGAGAAATGTGCCGATTCAGGGGTTAGTGCCGAAAAGCTCTTGAGAGTCTTGGTAGTCGCGGAGACAGCAAGCAAGCTGACCAGAAAGTATTCTAAGGCCATTTCTCAAGCTCAGTCTTGTACCACAGCACTCCGCAATGTAAGCTGCAGAGGATCATGCAGCCGATGGGGTGATGAGGTTTGTGGCACAACCCGTGCCTTCGGTGACTGCGAACTTGTGCAGGCAGCGTGCTGTTCCTGGACGTTTTCGGATGGCTTGCTCAAGCTGCAGAGCAGGCAGCGCTATCGCCGTCGCATTTGCAGTCCAATAGCAAGTCGTCCCGTCATGCCAAGCAACATGAGGTAGCATAATGCAGCAGAGCTTCCTCAGCTGACTCCTTGCTGTCAGGACACGCGCGATGGCGAAGCGCTTGTAGAGGAAACTGAGATGCAACGGCAGCTGTCCGTGGTGCGCGGGCGCCTCAGAGATCCGTGCAAGACAGAGAAGCGCAGAGGAAGCAAATGGAACTTGCATTATCTTCCATTCCAGGTGAGGAATCTCCGAGAGTAGGGGAGGCTGGGAATGAGGATGGCGAGGAGCTGCCCCTGGGCAATGAAATGGAAAGCAGAGTCGTGTGTCACGGGCTGGTGTGTGGTATCACCTTCTTTTTGTGTTGGTGGCGCAGAGCGCCTCAGAAAAAAAGAGCGAGGGGGTGGGTATTTCCTAAAGTAGGGCTGGGCAGAAAGGGTAGCAGTCGAGTCCCTTGTGAAAAAGGGTACCCCTTTGTACCCCAAATCAGAACAGCATCTCCTTAAAGCGACCCCATCAAATTTCGGAAACCGAAAGGGGTAGAGATCTGCTCTGAGAGAGCCGAGAGCTCTCTGATTGCTGGTGAGGCCCATGGAAGTGCTCCAGATGCTGCAGCCCGAGTGCCAAAAGCTCCAGGCCCAGCTCTGCGCAGACGCTCGGAGAGCATCATTTTCAGCGCTCTCTCAGAGAGCTTGCTCAGTCAGAGAGTGGAGAGAAGAATGTGAAGGATAAAAAGAGGGATGAAAAAGGCAGAGAGCGAAGGAGAGAGGAGGAGACTTGTGCAAGGCTTTGCTTGCCCGTTGCTCAGAAGCTGAGGATCTCGGCCGCTTCGAGTCGGGTCAAGTTCTGAGCTTCCTTCGCCAAGAGCCAGGTGCAGAGGTCATGCTGAGGCGCTCGCGATCATTGCAAGTATGGCAACGGCAGCCGCAGCCACTCCAAAGAGCATAGCGGGGTTTTTCACGCGAGCTCATGTAAGCTCGCCAGCATGTTCTAGTTGTGAAATCACAAGAAGCCCTAATAGTCCTTTGTGCAATATCCTTGCACGCAAGTTCATCGCATGTAGGGCTTACATACGATGAATTTGCATGTAAGGATATTGTATAAAGGACGAAGAGATCTCGCCAGGCAGCTGAGAAGAGAGTTTGACGACCTCGTGGCGGAGCTCACTTGCCTAGAGGCAGGAACGGGACGCAGCTTCACATTCGACGCCGGTAGGAGCCTCACAAGTAGTAGGAGGTCGTCAAAGGGACGGGTGTGGAAACACGAGCTGGCTAATTGTCGCTTTTTTTTTTTCTGCAGTTGAGTAGTTGAGGTGGGGGCCTATAAACCATGCTGAGGCCAAATTTGTGGTGTACTAGTGAGTGCTGCACTTGCTTCAGTGATCGAACAGACATCGGGTTGGCCGTCGGTTTGTGTGCCACTCGCTGTGCACCCAGAGACGGGTTCCTTTAGCGTCCAATGTACACTTGATCAACATCCACCTCCGCGGGCACGACGTCTCGTACAGCCTAGACATGGAGATGCCCCAGGCTTGAACGCAAACCTTCGGCGCTCACAACAATGACCTGTGTGCTCACCAGAACTTCCCATCGCTCACACAAAAGAAACTCGGAGGACACCAAAAGCAACCAACAGGAGCACCTTGCAGTGTCCAGTCCCGCAGTCAGTTGATTTGGGGGCAACCGCGACAGAATCATGCGGCAAAGTATCCGAAATTGCTTGCCCGAGAAGGCAGCACATTGTTGGCTTTGCATGTGGGAGATCATCGAAGTAAGTCAGTAATTGGTGGGTGGTTTGGTTTTGTTTGTGCGCCATTAGGTCGTTTACTTGTGAGTATTTTTAGATCGCGTCCAAGCGATCCCTGCAACTCTTGACACTGTCGACAGTCGACTAGCGGCGAAAACAGCGACGAAGGCCACAAGGATCATGCCCAAACAGGCTCGATATCCATGGCTTCCGGACCCCCAATGTGCCGCAATCCTTACACCAAGAACCTTTTCTCCTACGCGTTCAGAACAACAGAAGGCTGTAATCGTGCAACTTCCCGAGTGGTGCCAAGGGAGCCGGCAGTCAAAAGCATGGGTGTTCCACCTAGTGCCAGGTCAGCACTGCAAGCTCCAGTTCTCAGGACAGCTTCAATCGTGGACTCTTTCGGCTCGTCCATGTGCTGTGGGATGCACGGGACCGCCTCTGTTTGTAGTCCATAGTGGCCCAGGAGCAGCAGCCGGTTTGGCTTCGCCTCGAATGGACAAGCCGCTGTGCTGCTATGCTACTGAATCCTCGGAATACGCAGTTGCCATGCTCACCGTCATGGTTCGTGCGTGACTTGGAAGAGCTATCATACTCGAGCAAGTTCGTGCCGCCATGTGGCAAGGCAATGGTCGCCCCACGCAGATCTTCCACAACACCGAAGAGAACAAAACAGTGTGGGAAGAACCTTCCACGTCTGGTCGGATTATTGACATGTACAGCTTGAGAACAGACCTGGAAAGGCGGGCACTGTTGCATTGCACGACTTGTCCTTGGCTGAATTTTTACAACTTGTGCACCACGAGCTCGAGGTTTGCAGGCCAGGTTGGCCTTTTGAGAAGACAGTGCCCCTTTGGCTGCAGAGTCGGGCCCAATGAATCGAAGCTCGGTCTGCGGGGGTCTCTATGTGTTCCAAGGCCCCCGACGTGCAGGAGCGCCTGAAAACGACGAAATCCGACAGCACTGAGTTTACTTAGTCCTTTGGGATCCTTTGGGCACATGTTACGGCAGAAATTCTGGCATGCTTTGATAAGCCCGCTGCTGCCTGTACCATTGTCGCGCTCCCTTTGAATGCTGTTTGGTCACACAGATGCTCAGACCTGTGCGCCCTCAGTGTCTCCTGGACTGAGGTTGATGGGGCCACGGGCGAAGCAGGCAACATCACGCTGACCTTTCATCCTAGCTTTGCGCCTACAGAGGACACTGTTGGCGAACAGTTGTTAGCTACATTGGTTTGACCGATCTCTTCGCATGTCGGTACGGCTGACGTCACCTACACTCTTTCAAGTGTCCGTCGTACTTTGTTGTTTTCGCCTACATCTTGAATTCTCAGAGGATCAGCCGGATGCAGGCTCGGCCGAAGCAGAGGCTGGCCTTCGGTAACGTGCTGGAATTGGTGGGCTGATAACGTGTGTGTCACGCAACAGGATCGAAGACGGGACGAGCAGCGCTACCGGCTCAAGCCAGGGCGGTTGCCTGCGCGGACGGTGCCTCCAGCTAAAGAGTAACGAAGATGTAACACTAGTATTCTTCGCAAGGCGTGCAGGTGAGCCTGTCACAGCTGCATTTTCTTCACGTTTCTGCACCTGTTTGGAAAGCGGAGGTGATGCTTGGCAGCCTGGTGCTGGTTGCTGCTTGGATTACTAGCCTGGTCGGATCCTCAGGCAGCAAAACGTTGAAGCCATGGCCACAACAATCCAACATTCAGGATCTGGTCACCATTTCTTCAGTGCCTCCAGAATCCTGCAGAAGCCCTGATTTGGGGTGATCTTTGTCAAAGACAAACTGCAGGCCGCGGTCCGACATAGTCCGACTGCCCACCAGGCAAGAGCCAGATGATTTGGAGAATCTAGATGTGTGGACATGCGGCCATCTGAGAAGGTCTGAATGGCCTCGTTTTGCAAACATGCAAAACTTCAACAACACTCGAAGTACCAGCCCGCATCGCTGATGGCAGTCCGAGCTAACTTGTCCATCTAATTGGACTAGGCAGACTGCAGCGGTTGCTGGAAGGGTTTTGCGCGCATGTTCTTCATGCGTGCATGCACCGCCACCGGCTTGTGGCATGCAATCGTGATACTGTCACGTTGCCTAAACTACACTGTGAAAGGGGGAGGAAACCAAGACTTCTGGCTCAGCACCTCTCCCGAACCCGAGAAAGCAACAAAATTAACAAAACATGTTCTGTTGCCGTGAGTCGCATCTTGGCATGTGCTATGCCATTGTGTGCCAGCCAGCATTACGTCATGTCTCAGAAACGCATTGCTGTATGGCAATGCACAGTCTCAAAACCAAGTGCAGCTTGAGCTGAACAAATCCCCGTCTAAGCCTGATCTACGTTGCTGAGGTGTGGATCATCGTTTACATCAGCTGCGAGGCTGTCCACCAAGGGGCCACTGGCACCATCAGACAAGCTCTGACGACAAGTGCCACTTCACATTGGCTTCAAGTCTTGCGAGAAACAGAGCGGCAAAAGGCCGGGTGGGATGTGCAAGCGCGACACGTAACAAGTCCATCCAAAACCAGTGACCGAATGTCAGGTTTCCTTCCACTTGCCGCATGCGGAGGTCGCAGCACAGCGAGCAAGTAGAATCCAACCGTTCATTCACATTGAGCAAGCCCAGAGCAAAAAAGCGGTCTTGCAGCATTGTGATGTCGAAGATCAATGTGGTCAAATCCATGTCTGAACGTGAAAGGCTACTGAGTCCTGAGGTAAGCTTCAAGCAGTGGCCGCAACAGTTTTCCAAGCCAGCCGCGCTCGCTTGCGACCCTGCACAGCCCTCAGCCTCTTCTCCACCAAGCGCTGACACCAGTGGCAAAACATGGCGCAAAAAAAGCGTTCTCATGAACGCAACATTGGTGAGCTACAGCTACGCGGAGGCGCTGACATATAGATTCTTTAGATGGATGAGTCTCTGCAGAGGTTCGGGTATACACCTCGACTCGACCAAGCCTGAACACATTAGCATCACAAGCAGATGATGACCCCTGTTCACTGGGGACGGTCAAAAACACTGCTCACCAAGGAGCTTGGAGAGATGCTCGTGGTCTTCGAGAGGTGGGTAGGGGACATTTTTCGAACATGAGCACAGCTGTCCCAAAATCTCCCGAACGTCAACAGGTCCACCTTCCATGAATACTTCGTAAAAGCCGCGACTGAGAAATTAATTTACTTCCAACATCCCCACCTTGCTCCTCCTCAAGAAGGAAAGAGCGCAAATAAGATATTCAAACAAAGACGCATTGATTCAAATACGCTTTCTTAGTTTTTGCTTCCAATTGGGGTTGGGCACTCCAGGGAGACTCTGGGGTTGGGCACCCAGGGAGGCTCCGGGGTTGGGCATTCCAGGGAGTCGGTTAGGCACTCCAGGGAAGTCTGGGGTTGGGCACTCCAGGAGTCTCTGGGTTGGGCACTCCAGGGAGTCTTGATCTCTAGGAGTAGACCGGGCAAAGAGAAGAGTTCGGGCAGAAGAGTTGAGTTTAAAATCTAACAACCCCACACCGAAGTGAGAAGTCCCCATTATGAACCTGGCTTCTCATTCACTCACCTGTCCCCGAAGATACCGGGCGGTCGTGCTGCCACTCCGGGAAGACGCTGGGCTCACCAGGCAAGCAGCGCACGTGCAGGCCGCTTGGGTAAGCCTTTGGAAGGCGTTGGACTGTTCCAGATGATTACGTCTCAACTGCTCAACACTTGCCTGATGAAACCCAATTTGCCACTTGTGATATCGGTCAACCCTGAGGTAGACTGTTTTGTGCGTTTCGGTTGTGGCCGCTCCTGCAGGCCAGGCTGGACCAATGCCTGTCAGAAGCGCCGCTGCTCAAGGCTTGATGGCTCTGACATGCCCTGACCCATCCGGCAACAGGTGGCTGAACTCTGCCTTTACGGCTTCCCAACTCATGCCTTGGCGCGAGCAAGAGAACTACTACTCCCCCCTCTCCTGCCCGAACCCCGCCCGCATCATCCGTGTTGGACAGGCCTTCCAGGCCCAGGGCATCCGCAGCGCGAGTATCCAATGTGACAGGGACAGCCAGGCTGGGACCGGGATCCCTCTGTCCGACATGCAAATTGGGGGTCCGACATGCCAAGGTAGGTTTTCGAGATGCAAACTTTCTTGGGGTCCCACATGCAAAGGTAGGTGTTCGAGATGCAAACTTTCCTGGGATCCGACATGCCAGAGGAGGTTTTCGAGATGCAAGTGGTAAATTCTGGGTCCAACCGGCACAGGTGGGTTTTCGAGATGCAAACTCGCGTAAAATTAGTAAATTAGTAAGTAAAATAGTAAAATAGTACAATCTGGGTCGAACCGGCGCAGGTGGGTTTTCGTTCGAGATACAAACTCCCGATTTCGCGTAAAATTAATAAATTAGTACAATAGTAAAATAGTAAAATAGTAAAATCTTTGTCCGACCGGCACAGGTGGGTTTTCGAGATGCAAACTGCTGAGCCCGTGGAGGAAATCCTATTAAAAGTAAAGAGAGAAGGAGGATTTTTTTTCTGGATTTCGCGAAATTCTGGGTCCGACCGGCACAGGTGGGTTTTCGAGATGCAAACTCCCGATTTCGCGTAAAATTAGTAAAATAGTAAAATAGTAAAATCAGTTAGCAATGGTCATGCCCCTTGGAAGATAGGAACAATCCATACACCCCCCCCCCACGCCCATACATCATTTTTCACTCATTTTTCACACATCCTAACTCATAGCCTTCTTCATTATCACATTTTTCACCAAAAACACGCATCGCACCTTATCCATTTTCCAAGTCTATTTTTTCTCAATTTTTCCATCATTTTTTGAAAATACATTTTTTCTCAAAAAATATTGTTGTATCTTAGCGAATTTAAAATCTATCAAATCTTGTCATATAGCCTTATTCATTTTCATTTATATCTCGTCTTATTCGTTTTTTCTTTTCAATCCTCCTTATTCGTTTTTAAATCGTTTAGCCTCACTCGTTTTAAATTTTCCTCAAATTTCTTAAATTTTATCGTTGATTATTAGCGGGTCTTTCATTTATAAAAATTCTTCCGGAAAATTATCTAAAATCGTATCTTTCCAATGGGCGTGATGGGGTTCATTCATCTTATCAAAACTATTCAATAATGTATTGTAATCTTCCCGATGGGCGTGAGGGGGTTGATAGAATTTAGGGTATTTTGGGTGGTTCGCGTATGCTACATGAAACTTCGTGTTCGGGGCTTGGAGGGCAGTAGATAATACAAGGTTTTGTTAATATAAAGGAATATTAACAAAATCTTTTCAAAAAAATATTTTCAATTACTGTTTTTCTGCTTCATTCCTCTTTTTAATCCATTAAGACAAACTCAGGTTTATTCATAAGAGTTCCAACAATTTTATTAAAGTCCCTAATAAATACATCTGGATTAAAACCAAAATCGTTTATCTTACTACGAATATTAATATTTTTAATATCCATCCAATCCTCATATATCCATTTGAACACTGTATATCTTTTTGTTGACAATTTCTTGAACAGACTATTTTTAACCCTGTCATAACTGGGAAAGTCATGTTTAGTTGAGAAAATAAGTCTATCTACATCATATATGTGTAGTATATTACGTCTGATAATTCCCTCTATCCTCTCCTTCTTGAACTGGCGTTTTTGACAACTACGGCAAAAATAAACAAAGCCGTAAATATTATGAATAATATTTTCTGGTAGTGACAATTCATACAGAGTGGAATAACGTTCGTGTTTCTTACAATCTTTACATTTACAATTCCGTCGCTCTTCCTTGAGTTCCCTGAAGTAATCATGAACCTTGACAACATCGTCATTTGTTATTTCATCCTGTTCTTGTTGATTGACCATTTTCACACTAATATATATAGTCGTTATTTCTTTAAATGCTTTTTTCCTTGAAATACATTAAAAATACTTCTCGTTCTCCGCATCATACTGCACTTCGTAATACTTCTTTGTTTCTTCCTTCGGGTTTAAAATATCTTTGTTATTTAACTTATTAATGTATGCATTCCTTTTGTTGTTATAGTTTGAACTAGTTGTATTAGGTGTTTGGTTCTCCTTCCCTTTCTTCTTCTCCTCAAGATTATCTACCCTCGCAACTAATCTAGCTACTGTTTCCTCTAGCTTCTTAACCTCTTCTTTTAACTTCTTGATTGGGCTTTTAACAACTTCATCGCTCTCACTCATATATACAAACTTAGATTAAAAGTTTTAAAAGTTTTAACGCATTTGAACACTTTGTTGTATCTTCATTCTCTCACCTTCCTTTCTCAAATCGTCTCTACAATACTTGCAAGTCGTTGTTGAATACTTGTTATTAGTATTTAAGAAGTTATTCATCGGATACTTCTTTTTGCACCTCTTACATTCTAATAGTTTATCTTCAACCTCTCGCGTTTCACCAAATACAACGAGCATTATATAATCAGGTGACAAAATAATTCATAACATAACGAAATGTTATGAATTATGCATTTCCTTAAGATTTAATGAAGCTTCAAACGAATTAGCTGATACATCTTATGTGTATCAAATTATACAGATGTATCAAGATACTGTCGCGAACGCTCGCGAGCCCCTGCGAGGCGTCCCCTTTCTCTCGTCCATCTATAAATATGCAGTAGGTATTAAGGGGACTTGACTGCAGGGGGTGTTATTCTTCTCCTTCTTCCAATTCGGTCTGGGCGCTGTACTCTGTCAATTGTATAATATATTCTACTTTTTAATCCATTTTATGTAACTCATGTTTAGCTATGACTTCAATATCCTTTTTAATTTCTATTATATCCGTCTCACATTTATCTAACCTTTCTTCAAGTTCTTCTGGGGTAATCTGAGATTTGCCCCATCCTGTATCGCATATTTCAACGCTACCTGTCTGTAATGCATTTTCATCTTTAAAAATATCGTCCGGGCTTGTATGTCTCCCATTACCACCAAATTTAGTATTTCTTTTATCAATAACAGTATCTGTTGTAACTATATTGTTTTCTTTAATTGTCTTCGTTTCCTTATGATAAAACTGCCTTTTACAACGGCAAGGTATACAATGAAAGCCTTTTTTATCAATATGAAAACCTTTATCTCTTCCTCCACTGTCATTTGATGTATCGCTCATTTACATTAACTAGATTTTTTAACATTCTTAATATAATAGCATACTGCTTTAAGAAACTCTAACAGACTGTGACAACACATTCTATACCTTGGAGTTTTTATGACATAATCTAGTTTCTCTATCTCATTTATTACTTCTATGTATTTATTCATTATATATTTAAACCATATAATTCTTCTATGTAATAATCATAATGCTTACTCCTATAGTCAAACCAGTTAATGTTAAAGAATATGATTTTAAACAATCTAAGTATGAAATAGCACCACGATTACCATTTTCACAAATAATAACAGGTCCATCAGGTTCAGGAAAAGGCATTCTGTTACAGTCAATGATACTAGACATTTACAGAGATGTCTTTGAAAGAATATATATATATATGGTCCCCCTCCATCTCAGTGGATAGTAATTGGTTACCAGTTAAAAAATATATTCAGGATAATTTAAAGGTTAACTTAGAGAAAGAAAAGTGTCTATTTGATGAGTATATCCCCGAAGAATTAGAAGCGGTGATAAAAAGACAGCATAAAGTCATTGAATACCAGAAGAAGAAAAACCACAATAAATTATTCTCAATACTGATAATAGTGGATGATTTTGCTGATAGTAAGGCATTCTCAAGAAACTCACCGCTATTAAATCAGTTGTATGTCCGCGGGAGACACAACAGTATTAACATCATAACAAGCACACAAAAGTTTAACGCGCTGTCTCCTATCATTCGCGTAAATAGTCGTCAGTTATTCTTCTTCAGGTTAAGGAATTATAAGGAAATAGAAACAATGGTTGAAGAACTAAGCGCCGTATTAATTAAGAAATCCAGTGTAGCAGATACTAAAAACCTACAAGAAGCAAAGAAACTATTATTAGAAGTGTATAATATAGCAACAGAAGAACCATACAGTTTTTTATTTATTAACTTAATGAAAGGGGATGTTAATGATATGTTTTATAAACGATTTGATGCTAAACTAGTGATTGATTAATAATATTATTTGATAATAATATTATTAAATCAATGAATAACTGCATAAATTTATAGCAGGTAGTTTATAATATATTTTATCGCTTTTTGTTTCCTCTAACTTTTCAACTCTTTCAATAACATCTTTTAAAGTGTTAAATAATAACATATCTGTTCTTGTTTTTTCATTAATATCTAATTCTTTTATTTGCTTCATATTTTCAGTAGCACATGATTTAGATGTTTTAGAACCCGTATATTCTTATTTAGATAAAATTAATCTTTACTTTTTGCTTTTGGTTTTGCCTTTGGTTTTGGCGAGGCTTCGCCTTTCAACTTCCTTACCTCCTTCTTTAAATCTTCTACCTCTTTCATTAACTCTTGAACACACCCCCACAATACAACTGATGTTTTATTATATGCTAATAATTTCATTCCATCATCGTTATAATATATGATGTTATCCCATTCTTTGGGCATTTTAGCATCCTTAATATCGTCTGCTATAAATCCTATATTACTCTTTTTACTTTCATCATTAATAAAATTGTATGTTTTTGGTTTAATATATTTGACTGCTTTATAACAGTCTTTAATATTTACTTCTTGAATATTCTCTTTTATTTTAGCGTCTGATGTTTCAGTTAGAGCAACACATGTTAAATTTCCTCCAATATCGGCGTTATTAGTTGTAGTAAAGAAACCGTATACATCAACACCTGTATTTGTGGCATCTAACCTTGATAAATTATTATTACTTAATCTAATAAACCCATCCGTGTCGGGATTATTTATTAATACCCGCTGTGAGCCTGAAACATCAACATGCGTTATTTCTAAATTTCCTAATAAAGTAACTTTACCATCAGTTAATTGTATTTCTGGTGTGCTATTTTCCAAGCCTATTGTTAAATTCATTTCCCCTGCTGTGTCTCCATTTCTAATATATAATTTATATTGTGTATCCAACACTTCCTTAAATTCACTACTGTTTTGAAACATAAAACGTCCCCAACTAATAATGTCTGCCTCACCAACGATATTACCAATACTATTAAATGTTTGATTATTTGTAACTGCTCTATTAATAGTAATTCCATTAGTGTCGTTTAGTTGCAGTGCTATTGTTCCGGTTGTAGGGTCGGTTGTTCTATTTGACTGTAATGAAAAATTAATTTCATTTGTTGAAATAATATTTAATGAATTATTGACGTCCGCTCTTTGAAATATTCTACCTGAATTATTAACATAAATATCTCCATTAAATGTTGATGTATTTTGAAATGATGAAGTGCCACCAAAATTAGCATTCCCACCGCTTACATTTAATTTATTTGCACCTTGAATTGCTCCGATGCCTAAACTTAAACAATAGACACCATTACCATTTGCAGTATTTAATAAAAGTAATGAAGAACTGTCATTGCTTGTATTATAAGCATTAATATTAAATGAATTAAATTTTAAATACCCTTGTGCATTCTTTATTGTTA